TTGTCTTTCCCATCCCTGGGGTTCTGGTAAGTACCGAAGGCTTTTCCTAGGAGGGCCAAACTTCAGTTACTCTGACATTGTGTTGTGATTGTGTGAGTGTGTAGGCTGATTTCAGGCAATTGATAGCAGGGCAGGTTGGGGGCAGTGAACATGGAGTTCCTCTGAAGTTGTAACTGTAACGGAATGTGCTTAACCTTACAATGCACGGCACTTTCTTCAGCGAGGCCAGTGCAGGAGACAGTAAATGCCTGACACAGGAAAATGTGCAAAGAGCGAGCGGCAAGTTCCTTAAGTGGCAACCAGGGAGGGAAGAGGAAAGGGAACCTCATCAGGGAGGATTTGGTGAGAAATTGAAGATAAGTGGGTATGGAGAGTAAAAGTGTGTGGGGGAAAGAGCTCTAGGTAGACTGGAGCAAAGGATGATGGTGAATTTTCACAATGCAGGGAAACTGGCGTTTCCTTTCATCCTCCCCTCTCATAAGTCTAACGAATTTATGGGGAAAGAGCTGCTTACCTCAGCAAGTCGGAGGGAATGTGAGAACACAGGAGCTGCCTTTCAACTTTTTTAAAAAAAATTTTTATTGATTAAGGTATCACATATTTGTCCTCAATCCCCCATTCCAATCCCCTCCCTCACAAGCTTTCATTTTGATGGCAAACTGAAGCAGAAACTACAAATAGTGAAAATGGAAGTGACATAATCTGTAATCACCAAAGTGTAATATGCTAATTAGAACAGACATTCCTCCCTCCTTCCAGACAGACAGGGCTGTGAGGGAAGCCCGGGTCTCAGGGGCCTGTCGGTGGCCAGAGGGAAGTCTAGGTCCCAAGTACCTGCCTGTGGCCAGAAGGAGGAAAGCCTGGGCCCCGGGTCCCAGGTGCTAGCAATCAGGGGATGAAAGGCTTACTCTTGCAAGAATTTCATGCATCGGGCCTCTAGTAATTTAATAATGACTAGGAAAAGTAGGAGAGGTGGCTGGTAAACCAGTTTCCAACTTATAATTGATAGGTTTCCAAGAAAGGAAAGGGAGAGGGAGATAGAACACGTCTAGTAGAAAAGTTTCTTCTTTTCAAAAGTAGTGGGAGGTTGTGAATGCAGGACTGGTTGTTGACTTCCTGGCAGGGAGCTGAGGCAATTCCTCGGATCTAATTTGTCTGTGTGGTAGGAGCCAACCCCATCTGTCTACAGAAAGCTACAGTAGGGGGCATGCGTGCTTTGCAAGTCCTGGGGAAGGCTGCTCGGGTTTAAGTACGGTATAGAATGGCCAGATGCATTGAAAAGGTTCTGGAGGTGAGTCAGCTTAGACCAGCATCAATATCCTAGTCCTGAGCTTTGTCAGGCGCAGCCCCCGAATTGAGAATGACCTGAACTCACTGGGATTGGAGCAGTCAATGTGGTACAACAATCAGAATGGGCATGAGGTTGCTAGGTCCCACTTAATATGTACTGCAGTGAGTTAATGTGGATTAGCCAGTCAGTAAAAAATGAGGGTTTGGTAAATGGCTACAGATTCCCAGGTGGTAGGGGAATCTGGGCTTGGGGAGCAGCTCCGTGTACCAGCTGAAAGGAGAGAAGGCTGCAGTTACAGACAATTTGCGGTTAAACCTAGGAATGGTGTGTAACCCTCAAGATGGTATGGTCATGCTTAGAAATTTGAGTTTCCATAACAACTTAAACCCAAATTAAAATTCTAGCTTTGCCATCTTTGAGCCATGCGATTCTGCCACATTAGTAAAGCTTTCCGAACACCTGATCATGCTTGTTAAATTGGTAAATGAACCAACCGAACCAGCAGGGATTTCGTGAGGATCAACAAGACCTATTTATATTACATACATCTGCAAGCAGGGAATAACGTTTAATAAAAATTTTTCTCTCTGGAATCCAGGTAGGAGGGAGGTGAGAAGACTCGCAGAATAGTGTACAGACCACACGTCCAGCCCAGAAGATGGGGAACTGCCTCCCATTACTCACCTCGGAGCAAAAAGTCAGGAGAGCTAAAAGAGTCAGCCTCATACAGCAACTGCCAAAGGGAACTTACTACCATGAAGGAGGCAGAGAAGACAGCGTCCAGGAGTGTGTGATCTGTTTGATGGACCCTGTACGTGGAAACACCATCCGGTGTCTGCCATGCATGCACCTGTTCCACGTGGACTGCATAGACGAGTGGCTGATGAACGGCATCACGTGTCCCTGCTGCAGGTGGCTGGTGCTTGAATGCGAATCGTCTGACGAGATGGGATTGAACCAGGAGTTCTGGTGTGATTTCCAGTGAATCACACCATCTTTAGACTTGGATCTTTTGTCACTGAGCCTAGCCTAGGGTTAGGAATCAATATCAAGCACAAAGGTTTCCTTAAAAGACCTAGATGTAGCTCTCGCCATCTCTCTGAAAATCAATAAAAAGTCCTTAAAAATATCATCTTATTCTTCTTGTACCTAGGAATTGTGAGGTGTTGCAGCAGCTGTGCATATTTGTACGGTGTGTGTTGAAGATTAGGAATATGATGTTTTCTAAATGAAAAAAATCTCTCCCACACAAATCCCTATCTCAAGTTGCTGGTATTTAGATCAAGGTTTCATTTAAAAGTATGTTTCCTGGCTTAGCCGGTGTGGCTTAGCGGTGGAAGGTCTACCTATGAACCAGGAGGTCCTGGTTCAATTCCTGTTCAGTGCACATGCCTGGGTCATGGTCTCGGTCCCCAGTGGGGGGCATGTAGGAGGCAGCCAATCAATGATTCTCATTGGTGTTCCTCTCTTTCCCTCTGAAATCAATAGAAATATTCTTTAAAACAGTATGTTTCCTAAAACTGAACTGAAATATGTATAAAGGAAGAATATTTTCAAAATAGTCTTTGTTCTCCATTGCTTAATTAGATGTCTTTTTGTTTGCTAAATCCAATCAAGATGAAGGCTGGAGGGTGCTCAAGGGATTCACTAAGTTTAATGCTCATGTGATTAGGGTGTGTCCATGGAATTCAACTGAGACTAAGTTTTCCCTATGTCTCTTTATCCTAAAAAAGCCCGAGTGTGCAGACTTTGGGAGAAAAACAGAGAGCTCCTTCCCTGTGGAATCTGTATCAGAGTGCAGTTGGCCATATTGCACCATTTGGGGTCTGGTGAGTCTTCCATTAAACCAGAGGTCAGCTACTTTCACTCTGTCGCTATTGTACAAGTCTTATCAATGTTCAGTTTTCTACCAAAACAGTAACTTAAAATATATAAACTCATTTCCCATTAACTTTTCCAATTCTACATTCTGATTCTGGGGACTTAAGGGGTAAATATGCACAATGGATGCTGTTGATCTGCCAAATTGAGTCACTGAACTGACCAATCATTTCAGTAACTAGAATCTGACAACCTAATCTTCGTAATGACAATCAGTCATTAGCAACATTCATTCTCCTTACTCTTAACCATAGGCAAGGAGAACCCCCCCCCCCCCCACACACACACACTTCCCACCCCCAATTTTTTCACTTTGGTTGGCAGCAGACAAGCCTGAGTCAGTAAGGGTGAGGCTAAAAAAAGGATATGGCCAGAGAGGGGCCTCACCCTGAAATGAGCAGAGGCAGAGTGGGGCTTCAGCCTAGTAGTGTAGGGCCTGGTAGGGGTGGGATCCTAAAAGCTGTGGTAGGAGTAGGCTTATGCCTTTTCTGCCCTACCTCCAGGCATTTCTGGGTCTGTCCTTCATTCCTCCCATTTTTGCCTTGGGTTTGTTGCTTCAAAGTGGCTTTAGTTCTCCCTACTGGTGGAGAACTTAGCATCTTCCATTGACAAACTTAACAGGCTTTCTACTATAGGTCTTTGCTACTAAGACCCTAATTTTTTGCCCCAGTCAGTGCTACAATCACTGATATCCACAGGTCCCTAACCTCTGAACTATTCAGACCCTGAATTACCTGGCCCCTCCCTCTTCCAATCCTGGCAGGGCCCATGGGCATGACTCCACTGGTGCTCCATGGGTGATGACTGTTGACTGATGCCAGGAAGACAATGCTTTTCACCTCACACACCCTTTGAAAGGTGACAACACACAATGATCCAACACTTATCACTACACCCTCTCAACACAGGCAAACCTTAACACAGTCCAAATGACGACACGTGAAACAACAATGTTCAATCACATGTGGACCTTCCACAGTAAACATGTACTTTCACAGAGGCCATAAAGACCTCTAAGTCACAAACACACTAAGGAAACACACCTGTATGTAGATCAGATAAAAACCATATGCCCCCTGAAATTGTAAAAGCAAATCCTGGCTATGCCTATGTGTCAAACTGGGGCATTTCTTTTCTTTTTTTTTTTTTTTTAAATTTTAAAATAGATTTTAATTGATTTTTTACAGAGAGGAAGAGAGAGGGTTAGAGAGCTAGAAACAATGATGAAAAAGATAAACATGGATCAGCTGCCTCCTGCACACCCCCACTGGCGATGTGCCCACAACAAAGGTACATGCCCTTGACCAAAATCAAACCTGGGACCCTTCAGTCCACAGGCCAACACTCTATCCACTGAGCCAAACTGATTTCAGCTGCACTGGGGCATCTCACAATTCAGCAGCAACAAGAGAAGCACATGGCAGAGGAACAAAATGTATGCTGATTTCCATCAAGGCCAGTGGTACCATATGATAAAAGAGACAGGTCATTACAAAGGATCTACATGTGGTTGTTTGATACAATTGCATCCAAAAGAAAGTAGGAAAGTGCAGATACTTAAAGCAGGTTCTTATGAGAAAGCATCAACGTTTTAATGTGATTCCATGTATATGATTATGGAAAATTTTTCTTATATAATAGTCATTATTATCGCCAATTTTTTTTTTAAAACTAATCCTCACCCCAGGATATTTTCCCATTGCTTTTTAGGGAGAGTGGAAGAGAGAGGGAAAGGCAGAGAGAAAAACATCAATTGGTTGCCTCCTGAATGAGCCCTGACCAGGACCAAGGCTGGGGAGAAGCCTTCAAAGTATGTGCCCTTGACTGGAATCGAGTCCAGGACTAAGGGTCAACAGGCCGATACTCTATCTACTGAGACTAACCAGCTAGGTGTAAAAATTCTGATTTAAATATTTAGTACAGTAAAAATAGAGGTAAATCATTTTTTCGTTTAAATTATTTCAATAAATATAACTCTAATATTACAGTTAGAACATGGTTTTGTACCATGTTTTAACTCACATGTAATATTATATAACTCACCCAAATACATGTGTTTATACCAGTGTAAGCAAAATGGAATTTGACCAACCTGCTCAATTTTTTACCATTAATTAATTCTTGCATTTTTCAAGTATTAATCATTTTAATTTGAAAATATTACTTCTACCAAAATTGTGCATTCTACACTCCCAAAGTGTTTCACAATTATGAACTTTATCTTATGTTTTCAGTAACAAATCTTTGGTAAAATTCTGGCTATTTTGCTGAATTGTTTGCTTAATGGTCCAATAATTTTAGCCAGTCTAAAATTTGTAATATGAAATCCATCTAAAAGTTTATCTACTTTCTCAATGTGAGATAATTGGTGCTAAGTTATGAGAAGTTGCTGAAGATTCCATCATGTTACAGTGAGTATTCAATAATGTAAATCCTCACCTGCTTTACAAGTGCTGATTAATAAATAACATTTTATCATTTTCCATGGAATAATTTTTCAGATTATCTGTTAATTTTCAAGAAGCTTTGACCTCCTGCTATTAGATTTTTCCCCACTTATTTCTTGTTTTAGCAGTGAACTGACATTAAATGTTTTTGGGCACACCAAGACTGGTGCTAGGTTGAATAGTGCACAATGATTACAGAGCTAGAATTTTTCTCCTTTATAGTTTTCTAATTTGTATAAAGGATAAGCTATAAAGTAAGATATCCCTACAATGATTACATACATAGAATTTATCTGACCTGATTCCTCCATTCATTCATGGGTTAGATGAACTAAATATTTTGTCTAGCTGACAGATCCCAGATTCTGGTTCCTGTCCTATAACTTTTAAGGGAAAACACAGCAAGAACCTTATTAAAGCAATTGCTCAGAGAACATCTCAAGCCACTGCTTCATGGCAGTTGGCTTCACCTTAATCAAGTTAGTAGTACTTACTTGTTCTTATCCCATCCCACCCTATTCCTGTTTAGTCCCAGCTCAGATCCAGTGCTTGACAGATTCCCATTTCAGAGTACTATTTAAGATCTCACTGACAGTTAGAAATGGGATCTGGCTCCTGGTTGAGATCAACTTCCAGACAAGACTTTACTTGCATGGAGTATCAATCAAATTGTGTGGTGGTGGCAAGAGACAGGAAGGAACTCATGTGGTCTCCAGCTGTTAGACAGAGTCCTGACTGAGTACTGGAATCAGGGTCAGGTCAGCCCCAGAGCCAGTCCAAGTGACTATGTTATGGGGTACATCACAGTGCTCTGAAATCCCTGCCACAGTGGTATGTGGTGACAGTGGCTCTAGCCAGCAGTGCTTCCTGGTCCAGGCAGAAGTCCAGATCCTGTGTACTGAGGATCTGCAGGCCCCAGCTCCCTATCACAGGTTCCCAGCCCTTACCCCACTGCAATCTCCCACTCTGCCAGCTTTCCTGATACAATGCTGGCACCATGCCCCTCTAACTCATCCACCAAGGCATTTTGTTTAACAGAACTGTGTAATAAAGACCGTAACACATTCTTTGCTTTGAGTTCTCCAAGTCAGCCCACTATCTACAGTAGGGGTGTCGAACTCAATCAGAGAAGGGGCCAAAATCTAAAATCCAGCCTAAATCGCGGGCCGAATGGTTTACTGAACAGTCATAAACTGTCATTGTGATGGAAACGCAGCGGAGTGCAGTGATGACAGCGCGGTGCGGGCCACATTGCAAGGCCTGGCGGGACGGATTTGGCCCGCGGGCCTTGTGTTTGACACATGTGATCTACAGAGTTTGTCAAGCAGTTGCCATACATATGGATTCTCTCCAGTTTGAACTTTGACTGAATGAAGTAAGGATAAATAAAGGCTCTTTCACCCTGATTACAAATTGCTTTTTCCCCCCACAGCGTGTGAGTCCTTCAAGGATGTTTAGAGTCTGAAACAATGTGTAGTGAATCTTTCATATTTATAACATTTATAGTGTGAGTTTTTTCATGCTGTTCAAGGTCAAAATATTTATTGAAGGCTTTTTCACATAGATAACATTTGAATGGGTTTTCTCCAGTATGAACTCTCTTATGCAGTCCAAAGTTATAGCTTCTTTTGAAGGCTTTCCCACATACATGGCATTGATATGGTTTCTCGTCAGTGTGAGTCCTCTGATGTACTCTAAGGGCAGACGAGTTATTGAAAGCGTTCCCACAGGGGTGACACTCATATATATGGCTTCTCTCCAGTATGAGTCCTCTCATGTAGTCTAAGGGCAGGCGAGTTATCGAAAGCTTTCCCACAGAGGTGACACTCATATGGCTTCTCTCCTCTATGAGTTTTCTTATGTCGTCCAAGGCCAGAAGAATCAGTAAAGGCCTTCCCACATAGATGACATTCATATGGTTTCTCTCCAGCATGACTTCTCAAATGTTGTCTAAGTTTAGAAGACTTAGTGAATGCCTTCCCACATAGATGGCATCCATATGGTTTCTCTCCAGTGTGAGTTCTCTCATGTTTTCTAAGGTCAGAAGATTGACTAAAGGCTTTCCCACATAGATGACATTCATGTGGTTTCAATCCAGTGTGAATCCTCTCATGTTGGCTAAGGTTAGATCTTATACTGAAGGCTTTCCCACACAGATGACACCGATATGGTTTCAATCCAGTGTGAATTCTTTCATGTTTTTTAAGGTAAGAACTACTAATGAAGGCCTTTCCACACAGTTGACATCCATGTGGTTTAAATCCAGTGTGAATTCTTTCATGTTTTCTAAGGTAAGAACGACTAATGAAGGCCTTTCCACATAGTTCACATCCATGTGGTCTCAATCCAGTGTGAATCATCTCATGTCGTCTACGGTTAGAACGCACACGGAAGGCTTTTCCACAAAAACGACATTCAAATGACTTTTCTCTATTTTGAGTATTATTGTGTTGTCTAACGGCAGAGTGTTGAATCAAAGCATTCCCACGTTGACATTCAAACAATTTATTTCTAGCATCAATTGGTTTATGTTGATTAAAATAATTGATCACTTTTCTAAATTCTTGTATGATATGGGGTTTCTTTCCCATGTGAGGTATCATGCACCAAGTCAATGTTAAGATTTCAGTCAAGCAACCATCAAAAAAGAAAAAAAGAAAAAAAAAAGATTTCAGTCAAGTTTTCTCCCAAATCATTACATTCAAAAGAATCTTGAGTGTTAAGATGTCTACTTTTTGAAAGGAAATGAGAGACTGTTAAAGAGTTATCCACATTTATTCATTCTTTCATTCTTTTCTCAATATATAAATTATAGAGTAATCATTCAATGATAGAGTCCATTTAAAGATTGTCCCTATTATATATAACCACATGCATAAAGATTTTCTCTTTTATGGCAACCCAACTGGATATATCTGATTTTTAAAAAAAATATATTTTATTGATTTTTCACAGAGAGAAAAGGAGAGAGCTAGAAACGTCGATGAGAGAGAAACATCGACCAGCTGCCTCTTGCACACCCTCTACTGGGGATGTGCCTGCAACCCAGGTACATGCCCTTGACCGGAATCGAACCTGGGACCTTTCAGTCCGCAGACCGACGCTCTACCACTGAGCCAAACCGGTTTCAGCATATCTGATTAATTTTTATACATTCTACTTCAAAGACTGGGTATATGAGGCAGAATTACACAATTCTCTCTTTTTTAAATCCTCCCCTGGGAATATTTTTCCATTGATTTTTAGAAAGAGTGGGAGAGAAGGAAAAGACAGAGTGAAATATTGGTGTCAGAGAAAAACATCAATTGATTGCCTCCTGACCAGGGTCAGGATGGGGAGGAGCCTGAAACTGAAGTACGTGTCCATCACTGGAATAGAACCTGGGACCCTTTGGTCCACAGGCCACAACTTTCCTGCGGAGCAAAACTGGCTAGGGCACAATTTATAAGACCTCAGGTTATGGTTTTGACTTCAGGTTAATTTCTTCCCTAAAACCAAACTAACAAAACTTTCTGCTGTGAAAGTCCTTGATCTCAACTTTAATTAGATAATTATGCCAAACTCATAACTTATTTAATTTTCTGTTCTTTATTTAGAAGAACAGGTTCACACTGATAAAGCTTACCACTGCATTGATGAGGGATGTGTCCTTCTTGAGAAAATGTTGAGTGGATAACATTTCTTGTTTTTTAAAATCATCTCTCCTTTCTGAAATGACTAGGGGGAAATTATTAGGGAGATTAAAATGTTGAAGAGACCCAAAGCCCATTTGTTTTAAATATTAACACATAAATGGAAAGCACATCAAAGTAAGGCATACTATAAGGAAAAACACATTATAGGCATCAATTGACATTTTTTGGACTAGAATATGAGAAAAATAAAATGAAGATGGCAAACTGGGGAGGAAAAGAGAGGGACAGATTTATAGAATAGGTCCATAAAAAGGGATATTTTGTGAATTAAAAACACACACAAACACATCACTTTTATTGATGTCAGACACAATGGACAGTTTCATGAAGTAATACAGTCCCAAGACAATGGAGTATAAAATGACAGCAGACAAGTTAATACTATTCCTCCCCTTACTCTCACCCTCAGCACTATATCCTCCAACCTTCTCAAAGTCTTTATTAATGACAGCCATGTCCTCATGGGACTCATAAAACTCTCCTTCCTCCACTCTCTGACTCACATGCCAGTGAATAAAGGCATGCTTGGCATAAAACAGGTCAAATTGTGCTCCAGGAGAGCCCATGACTCAGCAATGGCTATGGTGTTTTGAGGCACTGCTCAACATGCACATATCTCACTGTATTTTGGCCAGATTGCCGTCAGATATACAGTGGTAGGTTGCTAATTAATACAAACTCAAAAATCATTGGGGGAGCAATCCACAGACTAGATGGCATGCTTGGTCTTGATGGTGGGAATGGCAGCACTAACTATGTCACCAAAGTAGAAAAGGCAGCAAGCCAGGAATTTCCCAAGGAAGGGCCATATTTCACCATCTGGTTGGCTCGCTCAAAGCACACACTGGTAATCTCTACTACAGTAAGCTGCTTATAGTAGGCTTTCTCAGCAGAGATAACAGGGGCACATATGGCCAGAGGAAAGTGGATTTGGGGTTATGGGACTAGGTTTTCCTGGAATTCTCTAAGATCGACTTTCAGTGACTCATCAAACTCGAGGGAAGCCACGATGGAAGACACAATCTGGCTAATAACGTGGTTAAGATTAGTGTTGGTTGAGTGCTCAATATTGAGTTTTCTCCCACAGGTATCAAAGATGGCCTTCCTGACAACCGTGAAGGCACAATCAGAGTGCTCCAGGTGGTGGTGTGGGTGCTGAGATAGAGTTACAGGGCTCAATTCCAGCTATGGAAGTCTGGGGGGGATGGATGTCAATAGAGAACTCCTCTAAGTACATGAATATAACCTTCCCTGAAGTTAAGAGAGACACCTGAAGAGAAGTTACTACCTGCAATGTATAATGACATCTCAAGAATTTATCTCCTACGTTTTACAAAACATCACTAACCTCAGATATCTCCATTAATCATTCTTAGTGCCTGCTTACTCACTGACAAGGCTCTTTCTTATATTGAAACACAGCCTCTGGAGCTCACCTGGATTCTGGCCTTGCAGAATAACAATCTCTTCTCCTGAAAGTTGCTTTCCCTCCTTGAAATGAGAAATCACGTATGAATCGTAGAGCTGACTGCCTGTTTGTACGAAAATGATACATGGATTTTGAATTCTGTGCTGATAACAGTATATGGTAATCAAAATAGGGTCAATTAAATGAGAAAAATAAGATAATCTCTGAAAGTCAGCCCAGGGAAGCGTATACTGAAAGTAACATGGGTAGTCAGCCAATGACATCTCTTAAACTTGTCCCAAAAGATATTAAGGACATATCATTGCTGTTGCCCATGCCCAAGTTCAAAGACAGACTATAAAATCATCAATATTTTCATGTAAGTTTTCACAGTGCTTAACTATTATGACCAAATAAATACAACTTCTACCAGGGGAGTGGGGGGAATCTAAGTTCTATGTGGAAAACAGTATGTCTTGTATTTTTAATACTTTGTTCTGATCTAACAGTACCTGCAGCAAAATAATTATTTATATATTTTAAATCAATACATTTACTTACACATTCAAAAACTGAGTTTCTGCCCTGGCCAGCTTTGCTCAGGGGTTGAAGCATCGGCCCTCAGACCAAAAGATTCCAAGTCAAGAGCATGTACCTCAACTGCAGATTCAATCCCTGGCCCTGTGAGGGAGGCAACCAATTGACATTCTCTCTCACACTGATGTGAGACTCATTCGTCATTTAATGAGTGTGTGTGTGTCTATCTCTCCCTCCCCCCACATCATTCCACTATCTCTAAAAATCAATGGGAAAAATATCCGCTGGTCAGGATTTAAGAAACTAAGTGAGCTCCCACCACTGTGTGAGAATTGGAAATTTAGTAGCAAGCAAGGGAGACATAAAATTGTGTCAGGAAGATTACATTCTATTGGGATTACAAAATGAATAAAAGCAAAAAGTAAAGAAAATTTCTGACTGTAAAGTAGCTGTAAGAGTGATGAAAGAATCAAGACAAAGTTTGGAATAAGAAATGGGAAAGTTTTTCGACATATGTGTAGACTGAATAAATATATACATGCACAGTACATATGAAGAGACTCACCAATCGAGAGCAGATGACAGATGCTCTCCAGCATTACGTCTGTGAATAGTTTTCTCTGGGGTATGTCCAGCAGGGCCCATTCTTCCTGGGTGAAGTCTACAGCTACATCCTCGAAGGACACTGCTTCCTACAACATTATGGACATTGTTTCAGACAGTGCCAGGACTGCCAACCTCTAGGGGAGGATGGTTCAGGTAGGTCACGGCATTAAGGAAGTGGCAGCTGAGTGATAGAAAGTTCAAACAGTATTTTGGGTCCAGCCACATCATTCTCATTGCTGATATACCCACAGTAAATATATAAAACCTCACTGTAAAGAAGTATAAAATGAGGTGTGATGTAATATAACCTGGAAACATAACAATAAACTTGTAATGATGACTCCAAATCATGATTATGAAATTTGCACTTGAAAATTTATAATTAAAACACTTCACCAATTTCAAGGAAACCTACAAACTCATCAGAAGGACTTGGGATCGGCAGGTGCAGCCTCTTGTCTCCACACAGCTCAGATGCTCATGACGAAGCATAAAGATAAACTGCTCAGCAGCATGTGCTGAAGGCCAGGAGTACCCCAACTCTTTCTATGGTCCGGGGCCTCTGGGTCTCACTTTCTCTGGGACCTCCAATTACAGCTGTCATTGCCTCTTCTGTTTCTCCATCTTATGTCTCTATTCAAGTTTACCTGAAGCCACCTGATTACTCTGGGCTCTTCACTTTATCAAAAATTTCCACAAGACTCTAAGTTTTACTCTACCTTCTATGTTCCTCCTCCTGAATTACAACCAAAATTGAGGAAACAATACTCGCTATGCATTGCCTCCACTTAATCAAATTTGAAGAAAGAGAAAATTACAAGAAGAAAATTCATGACTTGGGACACGGGTAATAATGAGAATTTTGGTTTTCTTTTTTGGATTTCAAAAGTGCAAACATATTCTATAAAAATTTTAAAAGGCCTGAGATTGGAAAAAATAAATGAATGACTCCTGATTGCCTTCTCTGGCATAATCATGACTTATTTTCCCCCCAATACTAATCAGCACGCCTGTCAGCACCTGTAATTGGCTGAACTCACCTGTGGAAACACCTGCTGCCCTTCCTGGCTATAATATTATGCTCCTTCCTCACGTGCACTCACCTCAATCCTAAGGCCATGACAGTTAATGATATGATTAATGTGGAACTTTTTTTTTTTTTCTAACCAAGCCATAAATTAGATGAGAAAACTAAGCCTTTCCAATATCTCCTATAAATATACAGCATTACTAAAGGCTGGGATATCTTATTATTATTTTTTAAAATATATTTATTGATTTTTTACAGAAAGGAGGAGAGAGAGATAGAGAGCTAGAAATGTCGATGAGAGAGAAATATCGACCAGCTGCCTCTTGCACACCCCCTACCGGGGATGTGCCCGCAGCCAATGTACATGCCCTTGACCAGAATCAAACCTGGGACCTTTCAGTCCGCAGACCGACACTCTACCACTGAGCCAAACCGGTTTCGGCTGGAATATCTTAGTTTAATGTTGGGAAAGAGATTGCCATTTAATGAGTCCTTGACCCAATACGACCATTCCAGAGTACCGGGGAAAATGAACTGAAGTTCAGATCTGTGAAAAGTCTCGCGTGTACTCAGCACACCCATGCCTGTAGAAACAATATACCCACATACTGGCAATGGAGATGCATTTCAGTAGAAAGGCTAATTCCCAACTCACCTGTGATGCCATGGTCACTAGCTCAGCTGTCAGCTGTCTCTTGGGTTTTCATTGACACACAGTCCAAGCAACAGGAGGCAAAGCTGTGGGAGGAGAAAGAAGCCATGAAATTTACTTCTCTACAATTTCTAGACCCAACTGTCACGAAGCCCCACTGCTTCACCTGGAGGTAACCCCCAGCCCAACCAGCAGAATCGGCAGTGTTTGCTGAGTGAGCAAACACTGTTTGCTGGAGAGTTCTCCTCTGCAGATCAAAGGAAGACACAAACACCTATAATTTAGAGAGGAGGGTGGTACGGGAATCAATCCAGGTGTTCAGGATTTTCCAATTCCCTCTTGAGACCAAAACACAGAGATCCCTGACTCAGGCCACAGGTGTCCCCACCTCTAGCAACAGGCTTAATTAGACATTTCTCAGGCTTCTATTCTTAGCTGGCACACAGCAGTGTTTCTCCAAGTCTACCCTGCTCTCTGGTGCCCCAGTCCATTCCTATGTCCTGTCCTTGGCCCTCCAGACACTTTTGTCCTGAATCATTTTTGTCTCCTCCAAGTGAGGCTCCAGAAATATCAATCTTTCAACAATGATTTTTAGATAAGTCCTGCAGGAATTTGGTTATGCACCAAGAGAATTAAGATTACATTTTATTATAGTGTTAATTCATTGATGGATTGACTTATTCCATTCAGTGTAGCCAATGGCATCTACTTTGAAATTTATCCCTGAAGAGACCCTGCATCAGATAATACGTGATCACGTGGGTTACAGAACTCCTATCATGTTTGACAATCCTCTCAGGGAAGTAGGCTTAGGAAATATAGGATGAAAGCATTTTAATAGGAAATTCTGTTGCTCCATCTGATATTTTAGAAAAGTGGAAGCTGAACTGCTGCCCTTTGCCAGTCATATTAGCTGCAATTTTCTTTAACCTCATTATTTCAGTGTGCCTGAGAAAGCATTTATAAAGTTAAACCCACCCTTAAAACAGCAATAATCATGTATATTTCATAAACAAGTGATGATAATGAATCGTAACAGAAGTAGGTTTAACTCACCATTTGTAACTTGGAATAGTCAAGTTTCATTACATGTGATTCTGTGCAAACAAATATACATACAATTGCTTATCTGTTCCTCAAAGTAACCCTACTGATTATGACTTATTTATAAAGTTAATAAATGGCATGATTAGAAGTTCAGAAAACTTTAGTAATGTGGCAAAAATCACACAAATACAAGCATATACCATGCATATAAGCATATGTCAAAAAGAAACAGATATAATTTGCATTTGCCTCAGCCTGCCTTTTAAGCAGAGAATCCTTAAAATCCAGAGGCCCATGCCCTCTGAATGGCTCAGCTGGTCAAAGCATTGTCACGTATACCATAAAAGACTGAGTTCAATTCCAGCTCAGGGTATATATGTGGGTTGCAGGTTTGATTCCCAGTTGGGGTGTATATAGGAAGCAATCCATCAATGTTTCTCCTTAAGATTGATCTATCTTTTTCTCCCAATTCCTCTCTAACAGTCAATAAAAACATATCCTTGGGTGAGAATTAAAAAAGAAAATTCAGAGGACCCATCCTTTTTTGCAATGTATTCTCCTTTTTGCTCTTTCACCAAAAATTACTGCCCATGCTGGTATTCTGTACCACACAGGAACCATTCCATCACCCTCATTCCAGAACTTCACTTCCACTCTTCTTCCTACTGCGCCCAGTGTAACGTGGCTACCGGTTCCAACAGTGTTCCCTAAGACCAACATCACTTCCTATTCCTACTGACCGTTTGCTACATCTGCGGAAGAATACCGCCACAAGAAATCCAAAAAGGACCACACCAAGATACATCGTAATTAAAATGCCAAGAGCAAAAGACAAAGAGAGAATCTTACAAGCAGCAAGAGGAAAACAGTTAGTTACCTGTAAAGGAGCAGCTGATTTCTCAACAGAAACTATGCAGGCCAGAAGGGATTGGCAAGAAATATTCAAAGTGATGAATAGCAAGAACCCACAACCAAGATTACCCAGAAAAGCTATCATTCAGAATGGAAAGGCAGATAAAGAGCTTCACAGATAAGAAAAAGCTAAAGGAGTTCATCACCACCAAACCAGTATTGTATGAAATGCTGAAAGATATTCTTTAAGATGAGGAAGAAGAAAAATGATAAAAATTATGACCAACAAATACATATATATCAACAAGTGAAACTAAAAATCAAGTGAACTAAAAATCTGAGGACCAGAATAAACTGTAATAGAATCAGAGGCAAAGAAAGGGAGTGGATTGATAATTATCAGGGGGAAAGGGGTGTAGACGGTGTAGGAAGAGACTGGATTAAAATTGTACATCTATGGATGAGGACAATGGGGGGGAGGAGGTAAGGGCAGAGAGTGGGGTGGGAACCGGGTGGAAGGGAGCTATGGGGGAAAAAGAAGAAACAATTGTAATAATCTGAGCAATAAAGATTTATTAAATTTGCCAAAACCGGTTTGGCTCAATGGATAGAGCATCGGCTTGGGGACTAAAAGGTCCCGGGTTCGATTCCGGTCAAGGGCATGTACCTTGGTTGCGGGCATTACCCAGTAGGAGGTGTGCAAGAGGCAGCTGATCGATGACTCTCTCTCATCGATGTTTCTAGCTCTCTATCCCTCTCTTCCTCTCTGTACAAAATCAATAAAATATATTTTAAAAAATTTATTAAATTTGGGGGGGAAAGAAAAAAAAGAGTACTGCCACACAAGGCATCTCCAAATAGTGCCTTTTTCAGGGCTGCCCCGACAGTAGGAGTCACAGCTCACAGTGGCTTTGAAATGGCACGTCCTGCTTAGTTAACAGGTCTTCCATGCTCCCAAAGTATTTCCAACTCTCTCCAGGCCTTTGATTTCACACCTTCTCACCCTCCCCTCACTTTCAATAGATGAGGTATTTCCTTCCAAGTGGATATGTAGGTTGACAAGTTCCTGGGTCTAACACCATAAAATGTGCACATTTTCCTGCACTTATACCCTTTAGTTACTCCTTCTCTCCCATTGCACTGAAGAACCATCTAGACTGCAATGAAACCACTGTCTTCTGTTTTGTCAGGAACCTTGTATTATTTACTAAAATGTTTATTTCCTTTACAAGCGACTTGCCCCTTTTCTCAAAGCATCCCCCCATCATTTAAACTTATCAAATCTCCTGCATCTTCAAACTAAAACTCCTCTGAACTATTTCCTCTTCTGGTCCTTCTCTACTGTCCCGTCTTTACAATCAAACCAAAAGCTGAAGGTGCAGTTACCTTAGGCTCACATCCCTCCCCCGCTCTCCCCTTCCCCCCAGTTGGCTAACTAACATCACCACCAATGACATCGGCATAAATAAATGCAATGTACACACATCAGGCTTTTACTAGGATCCAAGTAATAAGTGTAATATGACTTCTTTTGAGGAATTTACTTTCCCCTCGGCTCTCTAACATGTCAGCCTTAAGGCTAATATACTCATCCCAGCTCCATATCACGTGAGCAGAACTCAAACAACCCTGCAGGAAGATGACAAGGCTCCATGCTAGGGGTGTCGAACTCAATCAGAGAAGGGGCCAAAATCTAAAATCCAGCCTAAATCGCGGGCCGAATGGTTTACTGAACAGTCATAAACTGTCATTGTGATGGAAACGCAGCGGAGTGCAGTGATGACAGCGCGGTGCGGGCCACATTGCAAGGCCTGGCGGGACGGATTTGGCCCGCGGGCCTTGTGTTTGACACATGTGCTCCATGCGAATTCTTCATCCCTTTCTACTGATGCATGCTGTTCACTCAGCTTCTTTGTTACTTTTTCCAAAATGAAAGCTACAGAGCTCATGTCTGAGGCCCACTCTGAGCTCTCACCTCTGCTTTCCAGCTATCATGCGCTTTAAGAGATATGTCTCAGGATACTGTCTCCCCTAAATATCACTCTTTACCTACTCCACGTTCCTTTCCACGTCTTTACCAGACAGCTAACGTTTGAAATGTTGTAGACTCACTCAGACCATATCGAACACTATTAAGTATTGCTATCATTTCTACACTGTTCACAATTATCATTCTTCATTCCTGTAGGGAGCAGTTATAGGGTTAAGCCTCCGACTGACCTGCTGGCAAAGCTGCAAACAAGTCCCAGCTTAGAGGGCACAGCCCTCTTAGTATGATTAAGCTTGATCTTATGACATTCCCTAGTTCTTTCTTTATATATATATCTATATATATATATATCTATATATATATATATATATAGATATATATAGGTATATATAGATATATATATATTTTATTGATTTTTTACAGAGAGGAAGGGGGGGAGAGAGAGAGCTAGAAACGTCGATGAGAGAGAAACATCGACCAGCTGCCTCATGCACACCCCCTACTGGGGATGTGCCCGCAACTCAGGTACATGTCCTTGACAGGAATCGAACCTGGGACCTTTCAGTCTGCAGACCGCCGCTCTACCACTGAGCCGAACCGGTTTCGGCATTTTTTTTTTTAATTTATTTTTTATTTTTATTTTTTTAGCTCCCTAGATCTTTCCTGGGTAGCTAATGGGCTGTGGGAGGTGCAGCAAGTGCTGCCAAAACCAGTGAAACTTATAAGAACATTGTAAATCACCCCGTTTACTCTGACTATAAAATAAACCATCAGCTTGCAGTCTGGATCTGTTCTGTTATCTCAGTCACACAGAGAAGATCCACCTAGAACCCAGCTTATCCTCTTTGTCTGTCTTCATCCTTTGCCGGCCCTCCCTCAGGCTCGCCAAACCCTTTGCTGTGCTAGTACAGCCCACATTCCCACCCAAATTCACAAACACAATTTCCCACCCCATCATTACTTCTCAGTTTGAAAGGCAATTCCTAAGATATGTCCTCAATAAATTCCCAACAAAATGAACACTTCCCTTCACAAAAATTCATCCATAAAATAAAGGAGGTCTGTCTGGTATTGTGAAAACAATCGCTAGTACTTACCAGAACCCAACAGATGGCAATCCCATGAAGCCCAATCTTTTTTTCTTTTTTTTTTAAAATACATTTTTTGATTTTTTACAGAGAGGAAGAGAGAGGGACAGAGAGTTAGAAACATTGATGAGAGAGAATCATCAATCAGCTGCCTCTTGTACACCCCCTACTGGGGATGTGTGGGCAACCAAGGCACATGCCCTTGACCGGAATAGAACCTGGGACCTTTCAGTCCGCAGGCCAACGCCCTATCCACTGAGCCAAACTGGTTTAGGCATGAAGCCCAATCTTTTCTGAGGACGCTGCCCCGACTGCCCTGACACCCCAGGGCCAGAGCGCCTTCCGCTCTGAAAAGTGCGCCATTATGTTGGTGGGCTCCCTCCCTTTCATGGAGCCGATCACCACACCAATACTGGGATCCAGGGAAGCAACCCGACTAATGGAGAGAACAAGTCCAGTAAATCTACCAAGAACGCCTCTGTCAGGAAGTGTTTCCCCTCTTATTACATAAGTCAAGCAGATGAATTTAAGAAGACAAACCATCATTTAACTCTGTATTTCCTCTAAAAGCTTCAAAGGCAGCCTGCACGCCTCTTCCTAGTTTATGGATTTTGGTTGTTCTGGGCAGTATTGTAGAGAATATGCAGTGAGAGAATGCTTTCTGCCCTTTATTTTGTAAGAGGGTTGTAACCTGCCAACATATTTTCAGGCTGCAGGCATCAGTCTGATTCTACATCAACATAAACACTTTTGCTGAAGACACCCGAGGGAAGTATTTTCCCCCTCCACAACGTGCATTTTTACTACCAAGCAAGAAATAGCTCGTACAGTGTCGGATGGTCTCTTCAATTCACAGTCATGCGATGTCCCCCAAACCATAAAACTCTACCAGCTTTGAAATATTAAATCCCCAGAATAACCAAGTTCTCCATTGATATTACTATAAATAGAATTTTTTTCCTTTTTTATTTTAGTAAGTCTTCACCGGGGATATGTTTTTTTTTTTTTTTTTAAATTGAAATAAAAAAGAAAAATTTTTTATTGATTCCAGAGAGGAAGGGAAGGAGGGAGGGAGAATCATGGATCTGGGGCCTCCTGCACGCCCCGCCCCTTCCTGAGGGTCCATCCTGCATCCCGCACCTGCCTGACCCTCCGGGTTCACAGGCTGTGGTAACCCCGGAGAGACACCGCACTCGGACACAGACTAAAAATGTTCAGGAAAGCGCGTTTATTTCCTGCGCAGGGTCTGCAGCCAGCTGGTGCAGGGAAGGCGGACGGACCGCAGCCCCAGGCTCTAGGAGCCTTTTGACTTCTCTTCCTCAGCAAGCAAGCAAGCTACGTGTACAGAAGCGGGTGTCTGCCCTTGGCCATCAGCCAGCCATTCCTAATCCTTTTACAGGCGGCAGGTCAGTCCTCCCTCCCTCCTCCGCCCCCGGCCTTACCCTCTGGCATCAGACAGTGGTCAGCAGTGAGTTGTTTAGGAAGCCGGGCAGCGGCCAGCGGAGTTTTTCGGTCCACAAGGCGACCTCCGCCGCGGAGCCGCGCCGGCCGGCTTACCCTGGATTCTCAGAGGGGGGGCGGGGGGAGAGGAATATGGACCGGCGGCTCCGGGATGGACCCGGGTGTCTGCCCGCACCGGACACTGGGCCCGACCCGACCGCACTGCAACAGCCGCCTGCCCGCCGGGCTCTCCCTTTGGGAAGCGCGCACCTGCCTCCCCCGGTGCCCGGTGCCCGGTGCCCGGTGCCCGCTGCACCCTCCTCCCTCCTCCCTCCTCCCGCCCCGCGCCGCCTCCGCCCTCCCCCCGGGCACCGGCGGGCGGGGACGGGGCCCGGGGGCGGAGGTCGGGGCCCGGGGGGCGGCGGGGGCGG